CGAGATGGGCCTGGGCTGGCGGCTAGCGCGGCGTGTGGCGCGACCACCCGTGTATTTGCACGGTTCGCATCGGCAGAGAACCGTGGGGCTTCGGCAGTGGGGAATTTGAGATAGGAGATTGGGGTCCTCCGAGCCTTCCCGGTGCGGGTTCGAACCTCAGCTGTTGTGCGAGTGGCGTGATCTTGGGCAAAGCTGACTTCGCTAAGTTTCGGTCGTGTTTCTAAAATGGCCTCTCTGTAAATCTATGAGGCTTATGCGACAGTACTGGTTGCTGCATTAATAGACAAACTTGTCACGACTGCCTTTGATAGAGATAAAGGCGACTGACATTCATTGAAATGTTCTTTCCCTCCCGTAACCTGAATCTGTCCTTAGCCTGCACGGAAAGGGGAAGTGCGAGTGGAGTTGGGGAAATGAGACGGCGAATGTCAAGCGCTTACCACGTATTGCAGAGTCGGCTGACAGGGGGCCACAGAAATGCAAATATGTGAGCAGTGCGGGTAACTGCCGTCCTGGGGAGGAGGTCCTATGTGCAGGAGTACCACAAGCACCCATTTCTGCCCAGTGGTACTCGCAGCGTTGGTGTGAAGGGATACATAGGCGCGAAGGAGAACGCAATTTTCCTCGTTAAAGGACAGCGACGTCTACATTTCTTCCAAGAGGCCTATTTTGTTGGAACTTCACTTTCTTCACTTGTGAAATTAGAGTGTTAAGCAGTGAGTGACCGCTCACTCGGCTCCCTTGTGAATCTTGGCAACAGAAAACCTTTTTCTTTTCGTTTGTATTACTGAATAAAGTGTGTTTCTTACCAATTATTTTTTTGCAGGCAAGAGGCAGAGGGAAACACATGCCAGTCAGGCCCGAGTTTGCATTCTCATCTCTGCCACCTCCTACAGGCTATGGAGAGTTAGTCTTTCCATCTATCCTTAGTTTTACCTGTGAAATGGGGAAGATGATATAACCTGCTCATGGGGCAGTTAAGATTAAACAGAGTAAGGTGGGTAAAAAGCCTTATATAACCCATAAAGCTGCTGAGCCTTTTTAAGCCTATAGAGAGATACGTTGTAGGTGATAATACAGCAGGTGTTTTTATGATTTTAAAAATCAAGCTGTTTTTGGAATCCGAAATCTTCCTAAAGCTGTGGGAAACAGGTCTAATCCCCTTTAGTGTCCTAGAGACTCCCTGGAGTAGTGGAGAAGGCGCTTTCTTTGAAGCTGCTAAATCCTGACCCTGCCAATTAGTGTGAAACCTGAGCCAGGCATTTCACCACCTGGATCTCCCTTTCCTCATTTTTCAGAAAGGGATCGCAGTATACCTACTTTTCAGGCTTGTAGAGGGAATTAAAGATAACATTAAAACCACTGCTCTGGTTATTTTATTTTAGGGGGAAATGGAGTCTTGCTCTGTCGTCCAGACTGGAAAGCAATAGCACAATCATAGCTCACTGCTCCAGCCTCAGCCTCCCAAGTAGCCGGAACTAGAGGCTCCTGCCACTACACCCAGCTAATTTTTAACGATTTTTTGCAGAGACGGGATCTTGCTGTGTTGCTCAGGCTGGTCTCAAATTCCTGGCTTCAAGCAATCCTCCTGCCTCAGCCTCCAAAAGCACTGGGATTACAGGCATGAGCCACCGGACCTGACCTTTCTTGAAAAAGAAAATACTAGAAATCCAGGAATTACGGGTTTCTGGTTACCTACTATTGTGTAACAAACCACCCCAGAATTCAGTGACTTAAAACGAATTATTTATATTTTGCTCTCAAATCTGCAAAATGGGCTGGTTCCCGCTGGGCCAGCTGGTTTCTGATCCATTCAGCACCAGTGGGGGCAGCCCAAAGGATGGGGCCTGGGGTCCCCTAAAAGCTTACATGTCTGGTGGTTGATGGTGGCTGTCACCTAAGACCTGGGACCACTAGAGCTGTCCCTGGAACACTTAGACATGGCCTCTCCCTGTGGCCTGACCTTCCTTGAAACATGATGACTGGATTCTAAGGGCAAGGGTTCAGAGAATGAACAAGAAAGCCAGATGATAGTTGCTGTATTGCCTTTCCTAACCTAGCCTTGGAATCAGTTCTGCCACGTGCCACATTCTGTTCCTTAGAGTCAGCACGGCTACCCTATATTCAAGGCAAAGGAACTTAGACTCCACCTCTATATGGGAGGAATGTCAAGGAATGTGTAGGCATGTTTTAAACTACCACAAGCCATACATGAAATCAGTGCCCAGGGCATTGCAGCTGCCATGATTTGATAGCTGGAACTAATATCCTGAGCCCTCTGGTCTATCCTACTTAGGACCTATTTTTTTCCCACTAGGCTCCTTTAATGTCTTGTAGAACCTTGGCCTCAACTCATTTCTTACCTCTCAAAGTCTCACTTGTTACCTAGGAAGAA